AGTCCTCAGGCACCTCTCCCGTTTCCCAAGTTTCCCGTTTCCCGTTTCATTATTGCAGTGCTGGGAAAGCGCTGGGGATCTTTTCTTCCATGAGTGCTCCCACAAGTTAGCAAAACACGCCAACTAATATACAGAAAAAATATACATATTCATCAGATTTCCTGGAAAAGGCAGTCTCATGCTAATGGGTTCCCGGAATTAATTTACAATGTCCAAGCATGCCTAGTAAAATCAAGGTTAGGGTCTTCTCCCCCTCTGGTGGTTGCGCATAGTCTTCCTCACACTGTCAATGCTAGTTGAACTCTGGGTTTCCTTTGGCCAGACATGGTCCTGGCATTAGCTCATCCATCCTCCTGTCCTGGAATGTCAGTTTAAACCAGCTCCCAGGTGTGCTTACCTTGATACTGGTGTCCTCTTTGTCCTCTTTGGCACTTATCTTACTCTCTTGAGCCACTGTTATCAGGGATGTACCCAGGAAGCTTAATGGACCATCTCAAGGCCTATTTGATCTCACCAGGCAAGAAGTTATGTGTAAAACCGCGCAAATGAAGCTAGGAAAAGAATACAAAGTGAGGCTTCTATACAACACAATAAAAATGCGAGTAAAAGAATACCGGTAAGACTTATGTATTGACTTGGGACCAGGGCAATCAATCCTTTCAATACTTCAGCGTTGGGTTTTTTTTGTCCTGTTTAACAAATATGTCATTAAAGTATGAACTGCTGATAATGGGGTTAGCATCAGAATGATGCAAAATCATCGCTGATTACCAGAATTGTTTAGTAGGCTCAATTTTGGTCTTGCTGCTTATACTTATCTAGCTGTGTGTGTGGGTTGTTTTTTTTTTGGGGGGGGGGTTGTTTGTGTGTGTGTGTGGTTTTTTTTGTTTTTACCTTGTAAGTGCTCAGAGGTTGGTAAAGTGTTTGTTGGCCATTGAATTCAATTTGGTCGTAACCTGTAAGCACAGCTCTGTCTGAAAAGTATATTACTATGTGTTTTGGGTTTGTGTGGCAAGGTTTTGGTAGTGGGGGGGGCCCACAGGAGTGGATTCTGTGAGAGTCTGCTAGAAGCTTTCTGCCTTGTATGCCCCCCCCCCCATGTCTGATAGAGCCAATGCCAGCCAGCTCCAAGACGGACCTGCTGCTGAGCAAAGCTGAGCCAATCAGCAATAGTGGTAGTGCCTTTGTGATAACATATTTAAGAAGAGTGGAAAAACCTGCTGTGCAGCAGCAGCTGGGAGAGAGGAGTGAGAATATGAGAGAAACAGCTTTGTAGACACCAAGGTCAGTGAAGGAGGGGGAAGAGGTGTTCCAGGTACCAGAGCGGAGATTCCCTGGCAGCCTATGGTGAGGCAGGCTGTGCCCCTGTAGCCCATGAAGTTAACAGCAGAACAGATATCCATGTGCAGCCTGTGGAGGACCCCATGCTAGAGCAGGTGGCTATGCATGAGGGAGGCTGTGACCCTGTGGAGAGCCAGCATTGGAGCAGGTTTGCTGGCAGGACTTGTGACCCTGTGGTGGACCCACGCTGGAGCAGTCTGTTTCTGAGGGACTGCATCCTGCGACCCATGCTGGAGCAGTTAATGAAGAACTGCAGCCTGTGGGAAGGACTTGTGTTGGAGAAGTTTGTGGAGAACTGTCTCCTGTGGGTGGGTTCCCATGCTGGAGCAGGGGAAGAGTGTGAGGAGCCCTTCCCCTGAGGGGGAAGGAGTGGCAGAGACACTGTGTGATGAACTGACTGCAACCCCCATTCTCTGTGCTACTGGAGGGGGGGAGGAGGAGGAGGAGGGAGGGAAATTGGAAGTGAAGTTCAGCTTGGAATTTAGGTAGGGGTGGGGGGGAAGGTGTTTTAAGACTTTACGTTTATTTTTCATCGTTCTACTCTGATTTGATTGGCAATAAATTAAATTAGTTTCCCCAAATAGTCTGGTTTGCCTGTGACAGTAATTAGTGAGTGATCTCCCTGTCCTTATCTAGACCCATGAGCCTTTTGTCATATTTTTCTGCCCCTGTCCAGTTGAGGAGGGAAAGTGATATGAGTGGCTTGGTGGGCACCTGGCATCCAGCCAAGGACACTCTACTACACTATATAATAATGCTGTTTACCTCTCTTAGCATTTAATAGCAATGTTACTTATCAATACAACTGAAGTATTGAATTATATATTAACATCCATATAGCCATCTTTTTGTGGATAAGGTAAGCAGACCTACTTTAATTCTCTCACCCTGTAATCTATTTTGGTGAAATGCCAGTTCCTAATGTAGTTCTTGGTTTTATTTACAGCATTGAAATGGCTCAGGAGACAAACCAGACCCCAGGGCCCATGCTATGTAGTACAGGATGTGGATTTTATGGAAATCCTAGGACAAATGGGATGTGTTCTGTTTGCTACAAAGAACATCTTCAGCGACAGCAGAATAGTGGCAGAATCAGCCCAATGGGTAAAGGTTTGAGTCTTTTTATTTTATTTTTTTTGTATGTGTGTGTCTTGAAAATATGTATAGGTGATGAGAGGAATTGCAGAATGTATTTCAGGAGATCTTATGATAGCTGCATACTAAAACTATGAAAATCAAAGGAATACTTCAAACCACAGTAAATATAAAAATGACACTTTATGTAATCTGGCCCACTTGGTGTTGAGCCTTAATTTGCGTTTCTACTTTCCCTCTGCTATAAGTGTGTTCTTACACAGTCCCTGTATTTTGGTCATTAACAATATAGTCTGTCTTTAATTAAGAAGATGCAGTAGAATGAAGAATGATTGGAAACAGTTCATAACCATGCAAAACTACTTGACTAAATTGTATTCTGTACTTTGCTTATAATTAAACTTCTCAAATTTCTGTTCTATAGGGACAGCTAGTGGTTCAAACAGTCCTACCTCAGACTCTGCATCTGTACAAAGAACAGACACTGGCTTAAACAGCTGTGAAGGTATTGCTAGTAGCACATCTGAAAAAACAAGGTAAGATTATAGGATCATTTAGGTTGGAAAAGACCATTAAGATCAAGTCCAACTGTAAACCTTACCTTTTGGTGAAGGAATTTTTCCCAATATCCAATCTAAACCTCCCCTGGCACAACTTGAGGCTGTTTCCTCTTGTCCTATCATTTGTTACTTGGGAGAAGAGACCAATACCCACCTCCCTACAACCTCCTTTCAGGTAGTTGTAGAAAGTGATAAGCCTCCTTTTCTCTAAACAACCCCAGTTCCCTCAGCTGTTCCTCATGACCCTTCACCAGATGAAGGTATTATTTTGAGATTTGAATGAACTGTGAGCGTATAGCAAGTTAAAGTAACATTGCAGTAACCTTGCCCTATTACAGTGAGTTTCTGCAGTGGAAAAAGGGACAGTGCACTTGACAGTGCTTTATAACTAATTAGTGTTTGGTGTTGGACTACTGTGTTTACAAGGACACTTCTGGTTTATCAGGGGAAATATTTGTTACAGATTGTCTAGTTTCCTCTAGGGAAGAGAGATAGAAGTACAGGTCAGGAATATGTATCAACAATAAGTGATCAGGTGGTCTATTGATGGATTTTGACAGTTCAAGCTCTTATTATGAATCAAAACTAATGTAATTACCCATTTCACTGTATGTGAACAGAAATGTACCTGTTGCCGCTTTGCCTGTAATGCAGCAAATGACAGAAATGAGCATTTCAAGAGAGGAAAAAATATCACTGAAAACAGAGACCAAGCCAGGTATGTTTGCAGAGTAACACTGGGTACAACTGATTTAACAGAAGCTGACTATTTACTTTCTCTTAAGTAGGCATATCCCTTTGTGGTGGTGGTCTTGAGGAACTGTTGATTGTGGATGCTTCTTGAGTATTAGTACCCCTGGATTCAAGAAAAATGGCTAGTGCCAGAATATAGTTTTCAGACACATATTCAATTTTATTAGGTAAATTGACACTTGAACATTTGGGCTCTTAAAGTTTCACATTTAAAAGGCACTTAAATTGTATCTGCGTGCCAGATGTTCAATTTTGATGTCTGTTGATTTTTGTATGAAATCTAG